GGCGGGGCCAGCCCCCCGCCCAGCGGCCCGTGGCCGGCATCCTCCCCTTCGCCTCAGAGGCCCGCTTCCGGGTGAGCGGGCAGGCCCGTTCGGTTACCTTAGCAACGGGGCCCCGCCCGCAAGGCTCCGCTGCCTGCCTTAGGCCCCGCCCTCTCCTGCAGCGTGTCTCCTGCCCTGGATCGCTCAGGGTCTTGGCCCCGCGCTGGGCCAAGGGATCCCCCTGCCTGGGGTGCGAGTGACAGACACCCCCTTCCTTCTGTACCACCCCTAGGTGGTGTGTACACACACCCTCCCTCTCTGACTGTGTCTCCCCCAGGTGGTGTGTACACACACCCTCGCTCTGTGTCCCCCCCAGGTGGTGTGTACACACACCCACGCTCTGACTGTGTCTCCCCCAGGTGGTGTGTGTACACACCCTCGCTCTGACTGTGTCCCCCCCAGGTGGTGTGTACACACACCCACGCTCTGACTGTGTCTCCCCCAGGTGGTGTGTACACACCCTCCCTCTCTGACTGTGTCCCCCGCAGGTGACGAGGAGTCCTGTTGCACCTTAGAGTCTAACAGATGTATTGGAGCATAAGCTTTTGTGGGCAAAGACCCACTTCATCAGATGCATGCGTGGTCTTTGCCCACGAAAGCTTGTGCTCCAATACATCTGTTAGTCTATAAGGTGCCACAAGACTCCTCGTCGCTTTTGCAGAACCAGAATAACAGGGCTACCCCTCTGATACTTCACCCCCAGATGGTGTGTGGACACTCTCACCCTCTGTGCTACCCCCAGGTGCTGTGTACACACAGCCACTCTCTGTGCCACCGCTACAGGGTGGAAGAGTGGAAACTGGTTTTTTTCCCACGTTAGCTTCTAGTTACCAAAGATTGTCCACCAAAACCATCTTCTGTGTGTGACACCCTATCTGACCATGTCACCTCCAGGTGGTGTGTGGACACACTCTCCCTCTCTGACTGTGCCAACCCCAGGTGGTGTGTACACACACTCTTGCTTTGTGCCACCCCCAGATGGTGTGTGGACACACCCACTCTCTGACCATGCTACCCCCAGGTGATGTGTGAGCACACCCTTCCTCTCTGACTGCCACCCCCAGGTGGTTCAAAACCAACAGCCAGTCTGTAGGCACTCACAAGGCTTCCCCACTAGAGGCCAGGCTCTGTTCCCCAGCCCAGATCTCTGAAAGCAGAGACTCTCGTGCTGTCCTGTAGCTCCCCTCTTTGCCCCGAATGCAAGGAATGTCACCAAGGAGCTTGCAGGTTGCTTGTAGTTGACAAGAGAAAAGCACCTTTTCCTGCAGTAAGGAAGCAGTTCGCATTAACAAGAATTTGCAGAAACAACATGTCCCTCCCTCACCCACTTCCCCTTGTGTGTCTTCTTCCTCATCAACCCCCCTCTTGTGCCCCACTCACATCTAGGCTCTTCCTCTCCAATCCCAAACCCCAGAACCTGTACTCTACTATCTACCTTATATGCCCCTCCCCCATAACTGTAGTGTCTGAACACCTCACAATCTGTCAGGAATTCATCCTCACCACACAGTCTTGTGCGACAGGCTAGTGCTACTATCCCTGTTGTACACATTAGGAACTGGGCACTGTCAGCCGATGGTCAGGGCAGTGTGTGTGTGTGTGTGTGTGTGTTATACACCCGAGTTTTCAACTGCTGGGACACAAGGTCCCGTCGCAGCAGGTGGCCTTAGGGATGACCGACGGGCGCCCTGAGGCTACGTCTACACTGGCCCCTTTTCCGGAAGGGGCATGTTAATTTCAGCGATCGCAATAGGGAAATCCGCGGGGGATTTAAATATCCCCCGCGGCATTTAAATAAAAATGTCCGCCGCTTTTTTCCGGCTTTTAGAAAAGCCGGAAAAGAGCGTCTACACTGGCCCCGATCCTCCGGAAAAAGCGCCCTTTTCCGGAGGATCTTATTCCT